TGATCAACAAAAAGCGCTAAACAACGAAACGATCTCATCAAGAGAAGTGATCACAAAAGAATCATCTCCAAAAAAAGAGAGCAAAAAAATCGAGAAACATCATCGCACTATTCGAACGACTACCAGCGGGGATGGCGAGAAGATGGCGGCGAGTGTTGAGAAGGTGGTTGAATCGGTGAAGAGAACAGGCAAAGAAACATCAGCAATCACGGGCGAACACGTGATTGACCTGCCTATGGAAATGGCACCATCCTGTATAGTACCACAAACGATAAGTAATGAAACGAATCAATTAATCGCTAAAAACACGCCGATGGTTCGACCACTCAACGACAGTAGTGCGGTGACGGTGATAAGCGATGTGAAGACAACACCTGAAGAGCAACGCTTAAACGGATTTTTGGGTGAATTGAAATCAGAGGGGACCGATTTGAATCTGAATGATGAGTCGTCTTCAGTGCAGAAGTCAGATTCAACAAACGCAATTGATACGCACGATCATCACACTGAAGAAATTGATTCGACTGAAACGAAATCTGGAATCGGTTCATCATTCGATACCGAATTCTCAAATCACAAACATGCATCTCAAAAACTGGAGTCCGAAGAAGAAGGAAGCAATCTGGGATCGCAACTATTGGATACTCGTGGTAAGGGTGCCCTAAAATCTGGCACGGCGGAACGTAAGATGGAACTTCCTTTAGCGACATCTACTGCCTACGAAACGAAAACTGATACGAAATCTAACGTTCGTTTTGTTGAAGCAAACCATGAGCATCTATCAGGTGCTAGATCACCGCAATTTCCAGGCACGGAGAATGCACGAGACACAGCTACAACAATGAAGTCTCCTGGAGGAGGCGACCAAAGCTTTTCCTCTCATTCCGACAGTAATTTGTTCTCAGTTCTTGAGCAGTCAGCAGCTGAGCCGACAGAGGCACCGATTTTGGGAAGTTTGAAACGCTTAGATGAATCAGAGTACGAACGTTCACCAGAAGATATGACTCGATCGATTCACGAGGATATCAGTGCGAGTGATATGGCGGAATCGATGCATGAGAGTGCAAATTCGAGTGAAGGCATTCGGTCGATTCACGATGCTGACGAGAACAGCGTCAACGTGTCATCCACTGA